ACGCATTTCTTAGTGAAGTAGCAACAATCATGGAAGTAGAAAACTAGGGGAAACAAGAAAAAGTCATGTTCATTGTGACGAACGCGTCCGATCTCCCTGATAAGCACTAACGTCAGTTCCGAAAAAAAACGTGAATCAGACACGATCATTTTAATTTCCGGGACAAAAAGCGAAAAATTTGTTGCGCATCTAAAAATAACGAATGCTAATCCAAATCAATTGAAATAACCGAAACCAATGCGGGGGAGGAGAGAGTAGAATAAACAACTGACAATCAAACTTCATCTATTCCTCTACTACGGATTCCGTGTTTTCATTCATCCGATTTAGCGTAACTTCTCACCCCGGCATTTTGACGGAACAATTCAAACCATATGAGCGTTGAAGCTTGTGAGTTGAGGATGCAGTAGGAGTGTGTGGGAAGCATGGGGGGGGGGNTTGGCTTATCGCGAACGCAAAACTTACTTTGCTTAGATCCACCGAAGTCTGTGTGGCGATCACCATGTTCGGATGCACTCGACGCAATGGACATCCGTTGTACCGGAATGGTCCGGTGACTAGAAGCAAACCGGTCGATCGTTGACGCCCCAAACAGACCACACGTTTGCCTCGATGCGGTCCGGCTAAGAGTATCACGATCACACCACGTGATCGTAGACTGGGACGTACTTTCCAAGGGTATTTCGGTCGATTGGTCCGCGTGGATTTGCGTTTTACTTTTTCTAATCGATCGATTTTCCGTTGTAATCGACGCTCGTGCTGGCGAAGTACTAGGCGGGATTTGCGCAGGCTTCGTAACGCATCCGGCTTGAATAAATGTGAAATTGTATGTGTGTACATATGGGTTCGGTTTGCGAATACGCGCGCGTGCGAGCGGGCGTTGAGTGTGAGCATGTGAAAGACGGACAAAACAGAAAAAAAATGTTAAGTTTTTTTGGCGTAAAATTCGGATGCTTTTTAGAAAATGTAAAGTGGTATAACTCCCCCTTGTAGATGACATTGAAAAAATGAGGGGTGATGAAGAAGCCTTATCAATCATACGAGCATAAGCAAATAATCCCAGTAGTGACGACTAGACAACTAAAAACGGATAGAGAATGAAATAGAATAAATGAATTTATTTTTTCAGGAAAGGGGGGGTGCGATAAATTCTGTCCAAATCACCAAGCATTGTCAGGAGACACATGGAAACCCCTATAAAATACACATTTATCGCCCCATCCGTTGGAGAAAAAACGACATCCACGCTCGTATCGAGCACGCATGTGAGATGTTATCAATGCTTGGGTTTAAGCGACCTCGATTTCCTGGCGGGAAGGACAAATCTAACGAAGTTTTATGCCAGCTGAGGGTATTGTGGCTACCCGTGGTAAGACAGAGAGAGAGAGAGCGAGCGTGTGACTGCATTGCAGAAGTATAGCTATTCAGCCTAGTGTATAACAACAACGAGCAGAGTTGTTTGATCCGATCAACGGTAAGGGTACCGATATACTGGCGTCTCGTTTGGAACAAGTCAATATAATTCCAACA